TAGAGGGTGCCGAACTTAACCACCAGGAAACATGGCCATCCCCCGTATTTTTTTTAAAGTGTTTTAAATTTACAGAAAAACTGTGAAGATAGTATAGAGAGTTCCTATATTCTTGTTCAGAGTTCTTATTGAAGATAATATAGAAAATCTGACACCTATTTCCCTTATTGTTAACATTTTGCAGAAGTATGGTGCATACATTAAAATTAATGAATATCAATACATATTTTTTTAACTAAAAACAATACCCTAATCAAGTTTCCTTAGTGTTCACCTAATGTGCTTTATATGTCCTAGGATCTCACTCAGGATACCACATTAAGTTTACTTGTCATAGTGGCTGGCGCCATAGCTCAGGGGTTAGAGCACTTGTCTTGTAAGTTTACTTGTCATGTCTCCATGAACTCCTCTAGATTGTGACAGTTTCTCAGAATTTCCTTGTTTTTAATGATTTTGACACTGTTGAGGACTTCGGCAAGTATTTTGTAGAAGGTCCCTCAATTGGGATTTATTTGATTAAGTTCTCATAATTAAACTGGGGCTATCAATTTTGGGAAGGAGGATTACAGAGGAAAAGTACCATTTCCATCACATCATATCAATGGTACATAATATCACTATGACTTAGCACTGTTGATATTGAACCTGAACACCTGGCTGAGGTAGTTTGTCAGGTTTCTCCACTGTAAAGTTACTCCTTTCCCCCACTTTCCATAATATACTCTTTGGAAGTAAGTCACTGTGAGCAGCCAACACTTATGGAGAAGAGTTATGCTCTACTAACTTGAGGGGAAAGTATCTGCATAAATTATTCAGGATTCTTATGCATGGGATATATGTCTTATTTCCTCATTTGTTCATTTAGTAACTTATTAATCTATGCAAGTATGGGCTCATGGGTATTTATGTTATGTTTTGGAACATAATCCAACACTACTTTATTTTGTTACACATATTTTCCAAAATATACCTCCTTCAATATGGCTTCTGTGCCCTTTGACATGTTCCCATGTTTTCTCAAGCACTATTTTATTCCAACATTATTTTTCTTCAAAAATGAACTATTCAGTACTTACTCTTTTGATTTGAAATACCCTATTTATAATACAGGCATACCTTGTTTTATTGCACTTTGCAGATATTGCGTTTTTTTAAATATGATCCTCCACCAGCAAAAAGATTATGACTTACTGAAGACTCGGATAACGGTTAGCATTTTTTAGCAATAAAGTATTTTTTTCTTAAAATTGGCCCTGAGCTAACATCTGTTGCCATTCTTCCTCCTTTTCCCCCTCCCCAAAGCACCAGTACATACTTGTATATCCTAGTGTAAGTCATTCTAGCTCCTCTATGTGGGATGCCACCACAAGCATGGGGTAACGAGTAGTGTGTAGGTCCGCGCCTAGGATCCAAACCGGTGAACCCTGGGCTGCTGAAGTGGAGTGTGCAAACTTAACCGCTTGGCCATGGAGCTGGCTCCCTAGAATAAAGTATTTTTAATTAATACTTTTTTTTAGACATAATGCTATTGCACACTTAATAGACTACAGCATAGTGTAAAGAACTTTTATATGTACTAGGAAACCAAGAAATTCTTGTGACTGGCTTTATTGTGATATTTGCTTTTTGCAGTTGTCTGGAACGGAACCAGCAATATCTCCAAGGTATGCTTATTTATGAATTTTTCATAAATACATGGGTTATATTCAGTTATATGATATTTTCCCATTATCATTTCTATACCAGCACTTGTGGCCCATCCAGAAATGACAAATGCATTAGTAAAATCATGAGGCACAGGCTTCCATTAGCCCATAGGCTCTTGGAAAAATCCTAAAACGAAGTGGTGTATGCAAGATTTTGTGCAGAGCTTAAAAATTACTAGGCTTAGGAAATTTGCTTGGGATCTAAAATTTATTTTTCTGTTACTGATTAACTTTCTCAATTCAAGACTTACACTTTAAATTTATGTTTTTTCTTTTTTGCTTTATGATTACTTACAATTTTCCAGTACCTCTTTCACTGCCTCACCTGGCCTTTTTCTGTATATTCCAACCAAGAAATACCACAAAAAACTTCTTAAATTAATTAACCTAATTAATTTAAATTAATGTTCCTGTGGCTTTGAAGTTTGGGAGAGAAACTGAGCCGTCCAAAAATGCTGGGTTATAAGAGGAACCACTCTCACCTTCCAGTGAGTAGTCACAGGAGCTTGTTTTACAGCCTTCTCTCAGCACGTAGACACTGCCCTATACTCCCCTTAGCTAGTTGCCAAAGTCCTTAAAATCTGCCTGTGAAAATTTACAATATACCATCCTCAAAGGTAATGTGTGAACCCTGAGAACAACTCCATCTTCCTAATTAAAATTTCCCTCATTTATACGTGGGGTGTCAAGTGTCCACAAATATCAAAAACCTATGTTACAGCGCCATCTGTCATCCAATCATGGGGGATGGGAGCACGGTAAAATTAAATTGCTGAGAACCCAGGCTCCCAGCAGCAGTGGAAGATGATGGTTACCATGAGGAGAAAGATCCGATTCCTGGAAAGAGCAGAGCTCAAGGAACCACTGCTGATGGACTTCAATGAAAAGAGGGTTAAAATACCTTTTAAATTACAGAATTAATAGAAAATAATTGCAAATATTAAAAAATAGAAGCTTGCAAGATAAAAATTAAAAGATTTATACACAGCATTCATTTTCTTATTTCATTTCATATTCCCTTTTAGACGTGTGTATACATTCAGATTTTTCAGGACGTTTACAAATATATTAGACCAAATCCATATCTATACCTATATAGACATAGAGATTTGGATATAGATAAAAGTATAGATATCAGATCTTTCATAACATTTGCACATATATTCAACCCAATATCTATCTATCTATGTATATTTCTATATATTTAATTAGAAAAAATATATATATTTAAGAATAATGAGATACATATGTGATACTCACATTTTGTTTTCCAAATTGATTTTTACTTGCAGTAAATCATAGCGTTTATTATTGCTAAGTATACAGATAAGTGTACACTATCACTAAGTAGACATTATTTTTGTTAGTATTTTGCATCAAATGACATACACCCTTTATTTTGTCTATGCCCCAAGTGATAAACACTCACTTTATTTCTTGTTTTTTTCACTTTTGCAGAAAATGCTGCAGAGAACATTCTTGTAAATCTCGTACCTCAGTCAAAATAAAACTGATGGGTCAAAAAACCCTACAGTGATATATATTGTATGTTAAACTGTGTAACTACCAAACATGCAGTTTTCAAACCTGAATATTAGCAATTCATTTTTTCCCCCAATCAGGATAACATGGCTTCTCCTATTAGCTTATCCTAGATTTGGGGGGAATATAGTGTTTATTGTTTTTATTTTGTTTTCTCTTCTGAAAACAACCTGCTTTTATGAGTTAATACATGGTTAAAATTCGTTTGTTTTTTTCTTATTAATTTTGGGCCAGTCTGTATTCTGAGTATTACACTGAAAACTACACTATATAGCAAATATTTTCCAAATATTTGACTGTTTTTTGTAGTCTTACCCTATTATACCTAAACATTATCAATAACAGAGAAAAATGCAAATTGTTAATTGTATTATTTCTGGATTTCATGTAAGCATCTACATTAGGAAAAGTAAGTTCTTAATTTTCATTTAAAACAATAATTGCATCTGGGATTTATGTACATGTATAGCAAAAGATGGGGACTCTAGGGTTGTTCTTTGAATGAATGGCTGATAAGCTACCATCTTTTTTAACCATCCACTCTAGATTACGGATTTTAATTAAAAGTTCATTCTTATTAAGCCAAGTTCTGTATTTTATAGAAAATATAGTCAATGAAAGATGGGAATGGAAATTCCCTGAAAGATGTGGGGCAGTGCTATTTTTACCGTTTTGGAGTATTTGCTTCTTACTATACTCTGTTTTTATTCTGGTACATTTGGCTAAATAATTATCTTAAGACATGCTCTACTTTGTAACCTATTCTCTTAACATTTCAAATTCAGAATTGACTTGGAAACATCTCAGAACTGACCTGTAAAAGTGCAGCTACAGAATCTATAAACTGGAGAATTTTCTTGACAAAGCGACCGAAATGTTTTGTCCTCAAAGCAATGGTAAAAAAAAGTTTGTTTTACGCTTCTTATGTACTACGCTAAAAAATAGCGACAATGTGGAAATTGACCATGGGGAGACAGAGCGTTCTGGAAATTGTTTTTTTCTTGACTTACGAATAGCCCTACGTGAGCCTCTGGTCTCCGGACACTGACTCCATCAGTACCGGGACGGCTGCCATCAAAGCGCCCTGGAAGGCAGGCGGCAGGAAAGCCGACCTAGTCCAAGGGTCTCAGCTCACTTGCTGAGCGCTGTGGGAAGGTCACATGACTGGTGGGTCGGACGGTGGCCCTCAAGAGCCAATCCTGTAAGCATCTGGGCGCCGCTGGAGGCGGGAGTAGATTCAGCGTCTTTGGCCCTCTGGACTCCATCGCTGTGGTCTACGTAGGGTCCGTTCAGGGTTAAGGTGCTAGCAGGGGTTTTCCTAGGGATCTTTTGCGCCATCGGGATTTATCTAGCCCCACTGCTAGTGACCACTGGCTCTCCCAAGGCTGATTCCTTCTGTGGAGTTTGCACCACTTTATTTATTTATTTATTTATTTTTGGTGAGGAACATTGGCCCTGAGGTAACATCCGTTGCCAAGATCCGTGCCAATTTCCCCTCTATTTTGTAGTGTGAGGCCACCACAGCATGGCTTGATGATCAGTGTGTAGGTCCACTCTTGGGATCTGAACCCAAACTCGGAACACCAAAAGCAAGGCCTGAACTTAACCACTATGCCACCAGCTGGCCCCTGCACCAGCAGATTTCAATAGTTAACTTTCAGCATATATAGGAATTAGCTATTTCAAGAAAATGTGAAAGTCTAGTTTTAATAGCTGTCATTTTTTATATTTATAAGGAAGTCCATAAGTAAAGTTGTCTATAGTGTTCCTTCTTATTTAGTGCTTTTTATCTTTACTTTAGCTTAATTCCATTGGTCAGAATTTTTTCAAATGTTTTTAGATGGATGTTGAGTTTTTTGTTTTGTTTAATGAGAAAACAACATTACTTAAGATAACTTTAGATTTGGATACTGATTGTTTATTTTAGTGTTTCACAGGCTTTTTCTTCCACTCCAAAATCTCCAGGAACAAAATTTCTTCCAGAATTTGACACATTATCTTTAAAATCTTGTGATTATTGCCAGTATAAAACTTTGCTTCCATTTTCAAGTTTTAGTGGTTTTTACCACCAATCTTTTAAATTCCAATTAATTTAATTTAAAGCAACTTAAAGTCGTTTGATTAATTTCAAAACTGCTGTTGGGCTTTCATTTTGAACCTCTCCTATATGCAAACCCTCCTCCTTTTAGCCACTACCCCTTAATCTCACCTTAGACCTATTGGTCTTCAGAATCTTTTTCAGATTTACCTCACTCTTATACCTCCTGTGCTATATCCTAGCTCAAGCTTCTGTGTCTGTTGTGGAAACCTCTTCGCTAGTACGTCTCACAGAGTAAGTCTGGGCGTGTTTTCCTTCCCATGTGTTGTAAGGTCTTTAGAATTTACCTGTCTGTATTTCACAATTTCAAAATTTATTTAAAAATATATTTCAAAATGTATTTCAAAAATTACTATAGAAGAGTGTTAACAAAGATAAGGGAGAAGCAGAGCAGGGAAAATTTAATAACATGAAATTTCTGATGTGACATTTAGCATTGATGTTCAACACTTGTTATAGCCATGTAATTTTCCTTTATAAAATATCCATAACAATATGCATAATTATTTTTGCTATGTTAACTTTCTAATTTTTGAAGGAAGAAGTTTTTGATAAAAATTCAAATTATTCCTAGAAAAAATTAATATAATGAGGGACCATCATCTACCGTCTGACTCTGACAATTTGTTACTGCCAACATCCATACTTTGATGTCTCCTTTTTCAGACCTATGCTAGCAAAATAAATATATTTGTATTCCTCTGTATGTTTTCACACGTAGACTTATGTATACAATGCCGATTGTTTTATTTTCAGCTAGATATACTGTGTCATATTATTGCCACACATTATTATTATTACTGTCCTTTTATTTTGTTAGAACATTATTACTCAGAAAAAATACGTGGAAAATATAGCCATATCCCACTGTAAAAGTGAGGACACTAAGGATAAGGTAGGTAGTGTAACTGGCAAAAGTTTACATAGGTATTAAGTGATGTGATCAAAACACTGTCACCTACATTTTCTATACATCACCATTCTCTTCACTAGTGTGTAGGCATAAATATATTCTCATTGTCCTGAACTGTAAATATGTTAAACATTCGGTAACTCCTAATTTACTTCAAATGTTTGTATAGTAATGTGTTATAAAGATGTGCCATAATTTGTTTACCCAATTATTCATCATTCTGTGGTGGGTATATATAGTATTAAATTTATTTCCCAATATTTGTTTTGTTTGCTTTACCAAAAAAAAACAGTATTGGAGTACAAATACCCTATACATTTATCTGCACTAGAGGCCCATTACATGTATATATATATATATATATATATATATATATATGTATATATATCTGTGTGTGTATATATATATATATATTTGTACAATTTTAATTTTCAAATCAAAGCCTGTCCATACCTCTGCAATTTTACTACGTAAAAGCACATCGTTCTCCAAGTTGTATTATTTCCTAATATAATATACATCATCTTGTAGAGTTATGTGATATATGACATAATATGAGAAGCATTTTTCGTTTTGAAAAAGGATATATAATCACATTTACAAATTAGAGTACATAATTCTTTCATTTTGCTTTAGCAGCTATTTCAGTGCTGTCTATTGCCTTCAGCTGAACCTTTCACATTGCTTTGATAGAGTTTGTTTGGGAGTGACATGATTAGTGGACTGATTACAGAGAACAATAGCCCAGAAAAGACAGCAGAGAGAAAGCAAAGCACAAAGGTGCTGTTCAGGGACAACCACTAGATTAGGTATTCCGGGAGGCTGTTGTGGGGGATTTGGTGTAAGTTCTGACCAGGTGTAATGCAAGCTAACTGACCATGTTTTAAGAATTTTGGTATTAAATAAAAGCCCTACTTTAATTTCTTATTGACCTGATAATGATTTAGTTTTATTGCATCAAAAAATTCAAGTCATGGAAGACAAACTTTGACTATTAGGGAAGCTCAAGAGTGCCCTCATAGTCCCAACCTCATTCTGTTTTTCTTTTCCATCATCCTCAATGTAGGCCTTTATACCCATCCATTTCGGGAGAAAGAGATGAGGAAGGCAATGAGGATTACTGTTACATCTCCTGACAGATGACATGTGTGTGGATCACTTATCCAGTCGTGAGACGTACTTGCTCCACTTATACGCTTACCAGTTGAGTTGGGGGTTCAGCACAGGGGCTTAGCATTTTCTTGTGGAGAAAATCACCTTATGTTGAATCATAGCTGTAACAATCACTAGATGTGGCATGACATGATTCATGAAAAAGACTTTGAACCACGTTTGAAGCATAGAACTAATTTAAGGATTATTTAGCCATTATCTTAATAGTTACATGCATTTATATCTCTTACCTTAATGATAAAAACAGAAAATATACAGGCATTCAAGAAAACCAATTTTAGAGAGGCGATATCAAGTATAATTAAGTGAGCACATTTCTTTCTTTTGTGGTGAGGAAGACCTGCCCTGAGCTAACATCCATTGCCAGTCTTCCCTTTTTTATCACTTACGGAAGATTAGCCCTGAGCTAACATTCATGCCAATCCTCCTCTCTTTGGTACGTGAGATGCCTCCACAGCATGACCAACGAGTGGAGTAGGTCCATGCCTGGGATTCAAACCCACAAGCTCGGGCTGCTGAAGTGGAAGAGCAGCCCTGAGAGCATATTTCATAAGGTCACACTTTTTGTGACAGAGCTATGATATTAGCCCAAACAATATAGTACATTCAAACTCAGTTTTATGCACTAAACAATGACCTCATGAAGCATTTGGCATAAATTCTTTCTGTGACTCACTATTCTCTATTTCTTATTGCATCATTTCCCTGGGGGTACTATACTGAAATATTGGCTTTATCTCTAACTTTGGTCCTGGCTGTGAATGAACAGATACATCTAGATAGCCCCTGTCTCGGAAAATCCTTAAATGTGTTCATGAATGGGAAGTGTCAGTCTATGAAATGAGTTAACTCCCAATATCATGTTCACTGAGATTCAAAGGTCTGAAGAGTAAAAGAAGCAGCCTAAGTTTGGCCAAACCAAAGATGCAGAATTTGGTATCAAAGGACAAGTTGCCAACTGAGATCTTGAAGTGAAAAACTTTGTCCTGTTCAAAGTATATGTTTAGTTCATTTGAGAGAAGGCACTAAGGGATTAAAGAGCACACAAAGAACATATTGGTCCTTGCTGGGAACTTGCTTAGCAAAACAAAATTGTTAGCGGTGTTTAAACATAACATGATTGAGAGATCATGAAAATAGAGTTCCATTCACGCTTCCTCCAGGTCCTCCAACGATAACATCTTATATAACTGTAGTACAATAATCAAAACCAAAAAACTGACCTTGATACAATGCTATTGACTAAACTACACAGCTTCTTCGGATTTAACCCCTTTTTATGTCCACTCTTTTTTTTTGTATATAATTCTATGAAATTGTACCGCATATGTAGATTTGTGTAACATACACCACATTCAGCACAGAGAACTTTTTCATCACCCCCAAAATACTCTCACATGCTATTCTGTGATAGTAACTCCCTCTCCCAACCCTAGCCCCTTTCCTCCACTGATCTGTTCTTGCAATTTTATAATTTTAGGAATGTCATATAAATTAAATCCTATGGAAGGTAACCTTTTGAGATTGACTTTATTTCACTCAGTATAGTGCTGTGAAATCCATCCAAATTATGTGTATCAATAGTGTGTTATTTTATATTGCTGTGTAGTATTCCATTGTATGGATATACTATTGTTGGTTCTTCCTTTCACCTACTGAAAGTCATTTGGATTAGTTTCTGTTTCTAGAAATTACAAGGAAAGCTGCTATGAACGTTCAGGTACATTTTTTTGCGTGTGAACATAAGTTTCCATTTCTCTATGTACACATTCTCATTAGTGACATTGCTGGGTCATATGGTAAATGTATTTTTAATCTTAGAAGAAACTGCAAGACTGTTTGCCATAACAGCTGTACCATTATATAGTCCCCATAAACTTGGCGTTGTCACTTTTTAAGGTATATTTTAGCAATTTTAGTAGGTATAGTAGGGTCTCTAAAGTATGATGGCTTTAATTTGAATTTTCCTAGTAACTAAATTTGTTGAATATATTTCATGTGCTTATGTGTCATCCATATCTTCTCTTTAGTGAAGCACCTGCTCAAGACTTTCCCATTTTTAAACTAGATTTTCTATTTTCTTACTGTTTGGTTTAGAGAGTTCTTTATATTTTCTGGATATGAATCTTTTGTCAAAAATATAGTTTGCAAATATTTTCAACAATTCTGCTCCTTGACTTTCCAGTCCCTTAACAATATCTTTCGCAGAGCAAAAGTTATTAATTTGAATAAGTCCAATTTATTGATTTTTTTTTCTGTTATGGGCTGTGCTTTTAGTGTCACATCTAAGATCTCTTATCCTAACCAAAGGTCAACAAATTTGCTTGCAAAAGTTTTACAGCTTAAATTTAGATAAATGGTCCACTTGAGCTTGTTATTGCATAAGGTGTGATTTGAGGTTCATTTAATGTGTGTGTTTGATATACAATTAACACCATCTATTTTAAAAATTATTTCTCCACAGAATTTCTTTTGTACATTTGTGAAAAAATGTTTTGGCTATTTCTGTGTGGGTCTGTTTATAAAGTATTCTGTTCCATTGATATATGTCTCTATCCCTCCACAGTGTCTTGATTACTGTAGCTATGCACTAAGTCTTAAAATCAGGTGGTGTGATTCCTCCAATTTTATTGTTCTTTTTCAAAATTGTTTCAGCTATTTTACTTACTTTGCCTTTCTATATAAGTTTTAGGATATGCTTGTTAACGTCTACAAAAATGTTTGCTGGAATTTTCATAGGAATTTCTTTACATTACAATTTAGGAAGAATTGGCATCTTTGCTATGTTGAGTCTCCTGTTATATGAACAAGGTATATCTTTGCAATTATTTTGGCATTCTTTGATTTTTTATTTGTGTTCTACAATTTTCTACATAAACATCCAGAATATATTTTACCAGAGTTATACTTAAGTTTTGTTTTTTCTGTTATTGTTTATGGTATGGTGTTTTTTCTTTGAATTTCCAGTTGTTTTGTTCACTGTGAGTGTGTACAAGCACACACGCACACAGACTGTGTTGACCTTTCACTTGTAATCTTGCTAAATTCACTTATTAATTCTACAAATACTTTGGTAGATTGCTGGAGATTGTTTACATAGATATGATTTAATATGCAAAGTATTTCTATTTTTCCTTTACTTGCCTGC